GGACATAGAAATACTCAGTAGATCACACAATGATTTTAACCTAGCTGACCATAACACAGAACTGACTAGGAGCTTCTCTAAATGAACTGTGCTGCGTATTGCATACACAGGGATTTTTAACCACACTGAGCCAAAACTGCATGTCCTAAACCCACAAATAAGGCAGGTTTCCTGTAGTATCCCTTACTTCCCAGACTCCAAATGTCTCCAGGAAGACTGGTCCAAACTGTTTGAAGGAGAAACAGAAAGACCCACATCAGCCACATAAGAATATAATTGTCCCAGCTGCTTCATCCATGATAATAGCAGGGAATTCATACTAGCCCAGGTGTTTAACAGAAATAAACTCAGTCTTCACAATGACAGTAGAAGAAAGACATTCCTTGGTTGCACTTTACAGATGATTCATGGGGAGTTTAAGTAACATACTCAGAGTGGCACAACCGGCAAGCGCTTTTGCTGTGAGATAAGCTCAGGTCAACTGCATCGATTATCTGCACTGCTAGAAGCCTTCATGTGCCTCTGCTTTATGTGACATGAGTTCCACTGCCCCTCCTTGAACAGGAAAGTCAATATCTCACCTGAGCTGGAAGGTGCTGACAACTCACCCAGCAGGAGGCCAGGATCAGGGTGGCATCAGGCCACAGGCCCAAGGGCAGGGTCCAAATGAGGGAGAGTGTCCTACAGATGAGAGTTGCAGTGGCCAAGATAAACACTGGGCAAGAGCTGGGGGAAAAGGAGGCAGCTAAGGGTTTTCTCCTGATAGCCCTTGTGTTACACTGGGCTGTGTTCTGTTTGCTGTCTGTCTTCCCTGTTGGGCCATGAACTCCACAATGCAGTACTTGTGTGTCTCAGTTCCCAGCTACATCCATAGACAGATAGGAGGCCCTGGGCCACAGACTCCACCACAAAATCACTCCTACCCCATGGTGTGTTCTGAATATGTCTAGTGAGACCAGCCAAAGGCAGCTCCAGGCAAAGGTCCTGGTCTTGGTCAATGGTACTTCATCCTGTCACCATTCAAGGTTCTTCCTTCAGACCATGATCTTCCCGTCTCTCTCCAATCTATCAGACAAATGCACTGTTTGGAGCCTGGGAGACGATCATTCTGATACAGTCTGTGTAAGAAGTAGAGTCACCAACTCATCTTAAGTGACTCCAAAACTCCTGGTTGTAGCACTGAAAGTCCAGGACCCTCTCAGTTCTGGGAAAGCTGGGAAGTTGGTCACCATAGCAAGAGAATAAGTTGAAGAGGCTCAGCACATTCCAGAATTTAGCCACAATTAGATGAAGAAAATTTGTAAGTTCCAGAATCTGGTGCTACAACTATGGCTGGCAGTGTTGGCTTGGGAAAAGTGCTTCTCTCCCAGGGTTTCAGGCCTCCATCAGACACACAAGACATTCCAGTGCTGTGAACATCCAGATAAGAACATCACCTAGTGCCACTGGGAGAAATAATTGGGGAAAGGAAAAGATTATATTCTTCCACATCCTTTTCTTGTCCCTTGGTACTTATTGGTTTCAAATCAATAACCCAAAGGAAACAGAAAAGCTGTCTGCAAAAATATATGCATTGCAATACTGTTTATAATGGTGAAAAGGTGGAAGGGAATTCAATTTTGAAATGAGAGGCAGATGGAGAATTTCAGAGTATACCACTTCAAGGAATCCTTGCTTCAGTCATGAGAAAGAACTGATAGATGCATATCACAACTTAAACTTATGTGGGGAAAGGTGGAAAAAAGCTACCTGGACTAGGATGGAAAAGGTGTTGCTGCAGAAAATGATGATAATGGATAAAGGAACAATGGTAATAATCATTGGATTATTTCACTGGAGAGATTCACAAGTAAATTCTTCCTTGTTTTCAGAAGACATATACTGTGATACTATTTTTCATCAAAAATGCAACTAATAACTTAAGAAATGGTCTTCATTCCTCTGTCTAGAATTAACACTATTCAGTGATGCTCTGATTGATGCCTACATCGACTAATGATCTAGTTCAGCTACAGAGATGTCTTGCTGTCCAGAAATTACTTTCATCACAGTGGTTGCCAAGCAACACAGGGATGGAAATAGGCCCCTTGATCTTTCACCAGCATCTCTTCCCTCAAGCAAGTCTTTGTCTCTCAAGCTCTCATTTGTGAATTCAGTGTCCCGACATGGTCCACAGTTCAGAGGCTGTATTCAAAAAATAATTCAGCCTGATTTAGGCAGAAAAAAGAATGCACTAGAAGATTCTTGAATAACCACAGATTTAACAAAAGGTTATGTGACAAGTCTAAGAAAGAAAAAGCAATGAACTAATGATGTTGAGAACACAGCCACGGTGGCATCAGGAAAAATATATAGGCCTCTGTTGCAGACACAACCACCACGGGAGATTTCTGCCATGGGGGCCAACTGGACACTTGATCCCAAAGCTACTGCCAAAATTATCTCCTATTGCCTCTTCATCTGAGATTCACCCCTCTGGACCCAAGGACCTGGTTAGACCTACTTAGTCAATGCTTGGCTGCACACCTATGTAAATAACAGCTTCCTGAGAGGGAGACTGAACAGTTCTTCTGCCAAGATCCACACAATGGTGGAGGATAGGGTTCCTCCCAAAACAGAGTTTCAGTGGTGGAAAAACACTTGATCAATGAAGGCTACCCTTAGTCTCTCCATTTTCCTACTGCCTTTTCCTTCTCCTTCTCTAACTGCCTAGAGTCAAACTTCCAGCACCACTCAGAGTTACAGAATCCACAGATGCACAGGTAGCAGTGTCTTTTACAGCTTCAAGGCTAGGGGCTATGCCTCTGTCTGAGTTATCAAGGCTTAGGGTTCCTGTGGAATCCTCACCCTAAACACATTATTGCCCACAGCCTCTGAAGGCCCCCTGAAAAGGCATGTCCCCTTGCTCTCTGCTGAATGTCTTAGCTATTTGGGGCTGCTATAATAAAATATCACACACTAAGAAGCTTATAAATAACAGAGTTTCTCACAGTGCTGAAAGTTGGGACATCCAAGGTCAAAGTGCCAGTAGTCTCATTGTCTAGCAAGGATCCTCTTCCTCACAGATAGTACCTCCAGCAGCATCCTCACAAGGGAGAGAGATCTTTAATTCTCTTGCATAAAGACACTAATCCCATTCAGGAGTGTTCTAGATCAATGACCTGATGATCTCACAAAGGCCACACAGCCTATCACCATGATCCAGGGCATTAGCATTTCAACACATGAACTTTGTTTTTTTATAAAAATTTTTATTATGATATATTAGTAATATGGGGGAGATTCATAGTGACAATTCTGATTAGGCTTACTGCATATTGGTTACATCATCCCCATCCTCTCTCTCCCCTCAACCCACTCCCTGTTCCACTTAAAGCAATTGCAAGAGGTTTCTTTGTTCTATTTCATATATGTATATGAAGTCCATCAACCATATATCCTCACCTTAATCTCCATTCACCCTCCCTCCTCCTACTAGTATCCCAACATACAGATAGACTGTACATATTTTACAGTCTTGTCTTTCATTATTGATATTTAAGTTGATGTTCAAAGAGGTATCCCTGCTGTGGGTATACTTTATTTTGGTCCATTCAATCCCTTCCATTACTCTCCTGTACCCATTTACCTCCCATCCTTCCCCTTTTTCAACAGCTTTTAGTATACATTCCTATATCCTCTATCTTCAAAAATGTTACCTCCTTTCCTTTCCCTCTTTTCCAGAGTTCCATAGCACAGATCCACTATTACTAACTTGTTCTACATATAAGTTTGTATATGCTTGTTCTTGTGTATATGGTTTCCTTTTGGATCTATCTTCCACATATAAGAGAAAACATGCAGCATTTTTCTTTATGAGTGTGGCTTACTTCACTTAACATGACGTCCTCCAATTGCATCCATTTACCTTCAAACCACATGTCATTATTCCTTATGGCTGAGTAAAACTCAATTGTGTATATATGCCACTAATTCATGATCCATTCATCAGTTGTAGGGCATCTGGATTGTTTCCATAGCTTAGCTATTGTGAATAGTGCTGCAGTGAACATCGGTGTACAAGCTACTTCTATTGTATTCTGACTTGTGTTCCTTTGAGTAGATGCCCAGGGGCAGTTATCACTGGATCATATGGCAGCTCTATCTTTAGCTTGTTGAGGAATCTCCTTACTGCTTTCCATAGTGGTTGTATTAATTTGTATTCCCACCAACAGTGTATAAGGGTTCTTGTTTGTCATCAACCCTTATCAACATCATTTGTTGTTGTTATTGCCCTTGAATATGGCCATTTTAGCTAGGGTGAGATGAAATCTGAGTGTAGTTTTGATTTGTATCTCTTTTATAACCAAGGAAGTTGACCACTTCTTCATGTATTTACTGCCATTAGTACCTCCTCCTTTGAGAATTTCCCATTTAATTCACGTGCCCATTTCTTCATTGGGATGTTGACTCATTGGGGGTTGAGTTTTTTGAGTTCCCTGTAGATTCTGGATATTATTTCTTTATCAGATGAATAGTTGGCAAAGATTTTCTCCCATTCTGTGTCTAGTGACTGTTTTCTCACATTCTTGAGTCTAGTGACTGTTTCTTTTGCTGTGCAGAAGTTCTTTAATTTGATGTAGTCCCATTTGTTCATTCTTTCTCTTAGATGCTGAGTTTTTGAGTTCTACTTAAGAAGTTGTTCCCTATATCTATATGTTCCAGTGTATTTCCTACTACTTTCTGGAGTTGTCTCAAAGTTTCAGGCCTTATATTAAGGTTTTTGATCCACTTTGAGTTGATTCTGGTAAAGGGTGAAAGACAGGGATCTAGTTTCATTCTTCTATAGTGGATATCCAGTTTTCCCAGTAACGTTTTCAACATATGAACTTTAGGAGGGCACAGTCATTCAGGCCATAACACAGGCAGTTCTCTGAGCCTAAGCCCTGGGATTTTACTTCCCCAGACAATCCTGACTTAGTGGTTCACTAAATCCATGCCTCTGTCATGTTCCTTAACAGAGGGACTTGTGGACATCTCCCTGTTCCAAGTGGCCCACTTTAAAGAGGATGGGATGCTTCTGGAGAAGCCAGCCAGAGTGGAGCCAAATTACACAGTCCTGGAAAACCCCAGCTTCTCCCCTATAGGAGTTCTACTAAGGATGATCTCTGCTACCTGGCGCATCATCCCCATCACCTCCACCACATTGCTCTACCGTCACCTTGAGCCTAAGGAAGTCACCTTCCACCTCTACCTGATCCCCAGCGACTGCACCATTCGGAAGGTGACACTGAGAATTGGGCAGGACAAGACAGGGTGGGATCACAGTAATCCTGAAATGCAGCAGAAAGCCCCATAGAGCAATCCTAACAGGAAGTAAGGATTGTCCCTTGTAAGGAGGAACCTTGATAAGGGTGAATTATCCTGCTCTTCACTCAGCCATAGTCTGGTCCTCTCATACCACAAGTCCTCCCACTTTATAATTCCATCACTGAGCTCTGGACATCATTTTACAGCCTCCTTAAAGGAGTCAAAGGATGAGAAAACTCTATCCCCAAACAGTAACCTTTCCTCATTCTCCCTTTTTCTCAGAAAGTGACCCTATTCCCACCCTATACATGGCAGAAACCAAGTGGGGGTCTCTGTGTGGCAGAACATGGGGGAAAAGGGCTGCAGAAGTGGTGTTGTCCCCTCCCCCTTGTACACACACAAATATACTCACACCATCCCACGTTATTCAAACTACATACCATAGGGCAGAAATAACACTCAATCACTGCTATTATGTTCCTTAGGCCATAGATGATGAAGAAGCAAAGTTCCAGTTTGTGCGAATACATAAGCCTCCCCCGCTGGGTCCCCTGTACCTGGGCTCCCGCTATACTGTGTCTGGTTCAGGGAAGCTGGAAATCATCCCCCAGGTGAGCAGCCAGATGTTTGCCCCTCATGAAGATCATGGGGTAGGTCTCAGGGCTTCCCAGGAACCTGGAAAATTAGGATTGGGAGAAAGCCTGGGGATGGGCAAGCAGGAATGGTTCAATGATGGGAAGAAAGGAAGTTGGGAGAGGCAGGATCATATTCAGAATGGGGATAATGCGTATGACTCAGGGATATGGAGAAGTATTTGGGCTATGGAGGGGTCAATGTGTTCTAGCCAAACTCACCAGGAACATACCTGTAGTCCAACACACTGGGTTTATTGCTCATTGCAGCAGGAGTACACACACCATGGTGAATAATAGGGCTTTGTCAGTTAAAGAGTGGTAGAAAGAAACTACTATAAGATTTGGGCAATGATTGTGGTACTTGTGGGATGTCCTAAAAAAAAAAAAAAAACACCTGTTCTCTAGATTGGGTGTTATCAGAAAGCAGGAACAATTGTATACTAGGGTCTCAACAAATATTATCTCTAGGGAGTCAGACAAAAGCATGCATAAAGCTGCAATTGCTAAAAGACAAAATATTCACTCATTTGGTGTGCAGTGTGGAAGATGTCTGACATTTTGTAGGGTGCTTAGTAACTGTCTGAAGTAGATGCCCTGTGCATGTCCTACAGGATACAACATGGCTGAGCTGCAGCCTCAGGTCAGTTTGTTGGTGGAGCTGGGAGCCTCAGATCAGTTCCTGGACCCACAAAGCTGCTTTTTGTTCTTTCTTGAGATCTATCCATACACCCTTGGCCAAAGGCAGATGAGGTTGGACCTCTGGGCTTTAATTCATGACATACATACTTTTATCTTGTTCAGATTTGCATCTTAGCATTAGAGAAGCATCTACTGAATGGTGGTCTGCAGATGAACCAGAGTTTGAGGAGTGTGAGACATGTCTGAGGCATCTCAGTGTGAGACAACAGCTGCGAAGCAGCATCCATGACTCAAGACAGGGACATCACACAACTGTAACACAGGCAATGGCCAAAGCCAAAAGACATTCTAACAGATCTAAAACCAGGGCCCAGATTATGAAAGCTGGTGAATAAAAACATATCCCAAATTCAGCTAGTCTGTTGAAGAAAGCCCAATGGGCTGCTTTATTTCCTCCTTAGTCACAAACTGTCACACTTGCAACAAGTATACGTACAACATGATGTATTTGCTATGGTGAAAATTTTCCTGTGACTAGCTATTAGATTTTTATCTGCAAGGTGAGGGAGACCAAGGTAAGTGAGACTCCAACATTCAGTTAAGTTCAGAGTGGCAGCTGTGGTCTGGAGAAATGCACAAGACACTGTTGTATGTTTCCTTAAGTGAAGAAGAAAAACATAGAGACTCAGAGATAGCAGGATGAAGATGAGAGAGAGCACACTAGTGTTTTAGAGGGTGACAAAGTGAAATAATACAAGAATCAATAGTAGAATAAAGAAGTTCAGACAGTATTGAAGAATCAGATAATCAACGTCTGATTGCTCTAACATCTCAAGCAGAAGCTGTCTATTTCTGAAGGCTGCAGTCTCTAAAGGACTCCTGATGGTCCTATTTAATGTCTAGTAGTTATGAAGAGGTGATGTTTGTCTTTTGAATGTGGAAACATGAAGCCGTGGGTGAATATTTTAGAGTTTTCCTGTGGTGTCAGTTGTTAACAAGGAATGAAAGACCTGATTCTATCATTCAAGAAACATTAACCCAGTGCCAAGGCTGTGCTTCAGTGGAAATAGTGCAGTGGACCTGAGAGATGGATCATTTCCTTTGGGAAGGGAATTATTTATGCAGACCAACTGCATAAATAATTTTAAAAATGGCAACAAAATGAAGTACACTAGGTACCATGAAACAAATATACCACCATGAGAGAGTGACTTGGGCTATTTTAACTGGGTGGTCAGAGATGACATCTCTGAGAAGATGCCACTTGGGTTGACACCTAAGTGGTAAGAAAGGTGTAATTTGCATCAGTGTTTCACAAAGAAGAAATGTGTGCAAAGGCAGAAGCAAGAGCAAGCTGGATATCTACAGGTGACCAAAAGGAGGCAAATGTGGCAGAGTCTAGTGCATGCAGCAGATGCATAGGGTCAGACCAAAGGAAGAAATTCCCAGGGCTCATTGGTCTACTTGTCCTTGATATGATGTTTGGATTTTGTTCTAAGTGCAATATAAGCCCTTGAGGGGGGTCTTAAACGTGGTAATACCAGACCTGATTTACTTTCATAAAGATGCCACTGGCTAGCCAGGAATGGTGGTGCATGTCTGCAATCCCAACACTCAAGAAGTTGAAGCAGAGGACCACAAGTTCAAGGACAGCATGGAACACATAGAGAGACCTTGTTTTTAAAGAAAGATGCTCTGGCTTAGTGAGAATGTGGGAGCAGAGAGACAAGTCAAAGGGCCATTGCAATATAGCAGGTGAGAGTACATGGTGGCTTGACCAGGAAAATAGCGATGGTGATGGAGAGCAGTTGATGTATTCAGAACAACTGAAGCATTGGCAATTGTCAAAACCAAAGGGATTATCAGTCTTTGTAACAGGTCTCCAAACCTATATTAGAGGCAGAGGTAATAAGACTCGGTGAACTGTCATTATCAGGAGAGTAAGGAAGGAGTTAAGGGGGATGTCTATATTTGTACCCTGAGTGTTCAGGAAATGGTGGTATTGTTTTCTGGATTTGAAAAAACTGGGGAAGAAGCATGTTTGGAAGACTATTGGAATCAAGAACTCTGCCTTGAATGTCCATGTGATGACCACATGTCAGTCCAGTGGAAGTAACCAGAACTTCTCTAAACATTATCCTCCAGAAGATGTGGAGTCATTCAGCTCCAGTTCCTTCCAGCAAGCATAACTTCCAAAGTGGTCTGCCAAATTCTGTGTGTATACCTCTAGTGATGGGGAGCTCTCTGCCTCCAAGAAAGCCCTGCACATATGTGGATGCTCTGAATTTTAGAAAATGCTTCCTTATTATATTTGTCAGGACTCCTTTAGTAACTAGTGACAAAAAAGCACGACTGAACTGTCTTCAACAAAAATCAATTGACAAATAAATAGGGAATGTATTGTGTCGTAGAAATAAGAATTCTGCCTTGAATTCAATTCAGGAAAGTCATGGTTATAAACTTTCTGATGATTGGACATGGGTTGAGTTTAGGATCCATTAGAAAGGAGGGTTTAGACTCAATAATGGTGGATACAGAAGAAGAAGAATCCAGTTTTAAAGGGAGGGAGAAAGGTCTGGCTTCAAATGTGTCATCACTTCTTTCAGGATGAGCCCTGACTTGTCTTTGGGGTACCCAGCTGTGTCTTCATCCTTCTGAGTCAGGATGGGTGGTGTGAAGATGAAACCTGACTTCAGTACAGGAAATAATCAGTGTCCACACGGGATTGATCAAGGCCAAGGATGTGAGGGGGGAGAAAACCTCACTTGCAGGATGAAGAGTGGATTCTTACATGGCTACTTTTTCTCTCTTTAGGAACTGGAGCTCTGCTACCGGAGCCCTGGACAATCCCAACTCTTCTCTGAGATCTTTGTTGGTCACTTGGGTTCAGGGATCAGGCTGCAAATGAAAGACAAGAAAAATGAGACTCTAGTATGGGAGGCCTTGCTGAAACCAGGTAAAACCAGGACCAGTCCAGAGAGCTCAGAGGTGGATGAAAGTAAGCCAGTGAGGGAAATGACAAGTGAAGTTATGTATCTTATCTCAATTTATGATGAAAAGAATAGCCCAGAGAAGTTATGTGGCTCTTTCAAGTTGTGTAACATCTTGTATGGCCAGAACCAAGTCAAGTAAATCTGACTCTAAGCCCCATTTTCTCTCTCATGTTCCCTAGTGTCTCCACCGTGCCCTTAAATTAACATATTTGACAGGCATAAGGCCTTTGGCACCATTTCTCACAAGGACTTGGCTGTAAAATGAAGAGTAACCACTAGATGTTTCTGTGGTTGATGAGTTAGGCCACTTTTGCCAACATCACATACTCACTTCTGGATTAGGCATTAAGTTCAAGGTACACAAGAGGAAATCAAATAATCAATTTTTAGGAGTGAAGTAACTTTACGGTCTATTAGTCCAGCACCAACACCCACAATACCAAAATCCACTTTTCAGTACTTCTAGAGACAACCTGGCTTTGTCAGCTATCAGACAATGGTGGTGGTACCTCCTGAGTTGCTGCAACAAGCTTCACCATGCGGTGAAAGAGGATAAGCTTTGCTCAGCCTTGGCTCAGTGCAAACACAGGTTGGAAGTAATCAGTTCAGACCTGGGTTTGAACCCCACTCAAGGACTTACTCACCAGGTGATCATGGGAAAGTTACTAAATTTGTTTGTCTCTGAGGTTCTTCATACATAAAATAAGGATAATAAATACTAACTGGGTTGTTGGTAAGATCAAATAAGATTATGTCTGTGCATGCCTTATACAGTGAGCCTTAACAAATGGTATTAATTTTGTTCTTTTACTTATATTATGCCAACCTCTTCCTCCCAGCAGTCTTCATTCTGTCCCTTGGAGCTCACCAAAGTCTATCTCTTTCCTCATGGGAAAGCCTCAGTTTACTGGAAGACTGGGATCATGGCTTCCCTTATGTCTCCCTTTATGCAAGTAAAACATATCCATTTCCTCTTCTATTTTGGTTTTGAATTCCTGGCTATCCAGTCCCCTTCCTCAGTAGAAGCTGTACTTTATGCATGAATCAAATGTAGCAAGGCTGTTCAGTAAGCAGGAATATGAGGAACACCTCCATCCCTCCATCCCAATGGACCCAGGGCTCCAGTACCGCAACCTGGGTCCTTGTGCCCACCTTCGTCCACTGTCATGTCACACTGGACTTAGGATCTGCTCAAACTCTCAGGACTTGTTCACACGAGTGCTGTGACATCTGCTTCCTCTCCTATGCAATTGTTTAAGCCCCTTCATTTGTTGTCATTGCTTTCCCATTAAAATTGACTTATTATTCCCATATACAAAGATATACTTGACCTTGACAACAAATCCAGAACACATGTATTCAAGTGTGTAAGTTTAGAAGACAAAGTAAGGAAAAGGAAATAAGTTTTGCTCAAAATAAAACATCAGACAGTTTAAGCAATCTAGCAAGGGACTTGGTTAGTTCTCACCAGGGATTCAGTTCAGCCTAAGGTAGGACAAAACTGAGTCTGAGATGACATGGGAGAAAGTTTTATTGCCCATTCAATCTATCTCTTTATTAACCTAGGTTCATAGCCTCAGTTTCCCCATATGCATAAGAAAGGGATTTGCCTTGCTCATGTCTTAGAGCCCTTCCAGCCCTTACTCCATACTCTATCAGGATTTGTCTGTAGCTTGTTCTCAGAAACCAAGAATCTCAGAAGGCAGTAGGAGGTTTGAACGGTGCCTTGTGTTCATAACTAGCACAATTACAAATGTTTCTTCATATCTCTTTTCCTCCAGGAGACCTCACAGCTGCAGTGACTCAGGTCCCTCCAGCCCCCAAAGGTCAGTAACAGCTGTCAAGGCACAGGAATGCCACAGGTGTGCCATGTGGTCGTGGAGAGAATGGAGGGGATCCTCTCATTTAAATCTCACCAGGGACACAGTTAGAGAGGTTCATGCCCCAGAGTTCCTCCTCATCCCCTTTGCCCCTGAAAGTGAAAGCCCAAGTTCCCCCCACTCATGCCTCAATGCTCTGTCATGAACTCCTCCTCCTGCTCAGGCAGAATGCCAAGCTAAATGCTGGCATGAGGCAGGGCAGAGGTGGTTTCTAGTGGTCAAATGCCTTCCAGAGGGAAAAAGAAGCCAGAGACGCAGATGAGGTTAATGAAAAGAGCTAGAAGTGGGGATCACAGGTAGAGACTATGGTTGAAGACTTTGTTTGCTCATTGCCAGTCTCACCTTCAGCCTCAGATTCCCTGACCTTGTTGCATTTTGTGGACCAACATCGGGAACAGCTGGTAGCCCGTGTGACATCAGTGGATGCTGTCTTGGACAAGCTATATGGACAGGTGCTGAGTGAAGAACAGTATGAGAAGGTGCGGGCTGAGACCACCAAGCCAGGCCAGATGCGGAAGCTGTTCAGCTTCAGTCGGTCCTGGGACTGGGCCTGCAAAGACCAACTCTACCAAGCCCTGAAGGAGACCCATCCTCACCTGATCACAGATCTCTTGGAGAAGTGGGGCAGAGACTCAGGGAACCGTGACAGGCTTAGCAGCTCCAATCTGAGCACTCACCTTTGAGTTCTTGTTCTGCCTGGCCTCTCTTTGGGTTTCAGTTTCTCCATCTATAAATGAGTTCCCTTCTGAGTTACTTTTTAGCTCTAGAGTTTTAGATGATGCCTCTGCTGGGCTTTATGTCATCCCCTCACTTTCACAGGTCGCTGTACAGAGTGGACAAGCTGGCAAGTCTCCTGCAGACATTGTAAGGCCTGGGCTGTGTCCACAGTGGACAAACCTACAGCCTTCCCTCTCCTATCAGGCTGTAAGTAGGAGTAGTAGGGAGAGATGTGTCCTTGGAGAGTTTGAATGGCTTATGTATAAGGGAAGAAATATTAATTTTTCAGCTCTTCTGTCCAGTCAAAATTGCACCTGGATTTGTCCCAAAAGTTGTGGCAAGGGAATTCCCTCCAGGAACTGCCCCCAAATCATCCACTATGTGGCTGGTTGTGATTACAAAGGAAGAGGCAACTAAATGTCAGGATGATCTATCCAAAGCATTCATTAGGCAAACTTCCTTATAGAGGGCATCCTCCAGTTGGACAGTGAGAAAGGAGATGTTCCACCCACTTATGTCCACAATACAGATTGGATTTTGGAGTTTATATGAGGTTTTGTGGAATTTGCCTTAGGACCAGGGACAGTTTCTACATGCTTATCACCATGTTTGTTCTTGCAGTGTTTTAACCTAAATAATTATATCAGTGCTAGGTCAAGTTCACAGGTTGGGTTCCATCCTTCAGGAGAAACATGAAACTTGTGTTTCTCAGTCAGGACAAGAAAAGAAGTGGGGGGAATTGTGAGCCCTTCCAGTTGTCCATGTTGGGCTTCTATTGTGTGCTTTGTTGTTTTAAAGTCTGGATAGTCCTAGAACCAAGAGGGGTTGGAGATGGAGTCAGTGGCAGATGGAGTCTAAGTCTTAGCTGGGAGGTCTCCTTCTGTGGAAAGCTATTTCATGCCCTACATGAGGTTTAGGTACCATGCCCTGTGCCCATGCAGCACCTTGTATCCTTCATGCTTATGAGGGCACTCAACACATGGCATTGCTGCACTTCACTATTTGTCACCCCCATTAGATGGTAAGATTCCAAAGGGCAGAAGTCATATCATCTGCCATCAAATCTCTTCTTTTGCCTAGTACAATGCCTGGCTCATGGTGGGTATTGAGTATTTGTTAACGGGTAAACATTAAAGGAACTTTCTTGATACAATTCCCTCAACATTCCCTCCCTAACCATCATCTTGTCCATGTGACACCAAAGTCTGCCCTACTATTAACCCCCAAGTTGTTCACAACCATGACTCCAAGGACTCATATTACAATTGAACCTATGGGTGTTTCAACATATATACAAATGTTATCTCTAACTTATGAGAACAAAGCCTCACTCACACTACCCCTGCCCCAGATTCAGAAGCACCTTCTCTCCTTCCCCACTCAGTCACTGCACTTCAGCCTCTACACCTGCCCTTTCCCTCTACTGAACAGCCCAGGAATCTCTTCCTTGACTTCCTTGACTCTGAATGTTTCTGTAAGTGTTGCATTGGATGATAAATGTAGGTGTTCATATCCATGTCAAGCATATAGTAAATACAGCAGTCCTCCCTTATCTGCAAGATATACATTCAAAGACCACCTGGGGTATACCTGGAAAAGTAAATAGTACTGAATCCTATACAAATTTATGTTTTTCCTACACAGAAATAACTATGATAAAGTTTAATTTATAAATCAGGCAAACAAGAGGTTGACAACAACTAATAACAAAATAAAATAATAATAAATATATATACACACATATTTAAGTTTATGAATGTGTTACTTCTCTCAAAATATCTTATTGTACTTTCACCTTTTCAGTTAAAGGAAGCACTTTGTGGTTTCTCTTTGGCTATCCCAATTGCCTGGATCACCACTCTTGCACTTTGGGACCACTAAGAAAATAAGAGTACCATAACAATAGCTCTAATAACAAATATGGCTACTATGTGACCAACAGGCAAACAGCATGTACCGTGTGGATACACTTAGCAAAGGAGTGATTCACTTCTCAGGTTGTACACAGCAGGACAGTGAGAGATTTCACCCTGCTATTCAGAATGGTACACAATTTAAAACCTATGAATTTTCCCTGCTCCACTGTGTGATTAAAGCCAAGGTATATCTGTGCACTAAGTTTCCATCATGCCCTCTTCTTTGCTTCAGCTAGTTCCAATGTCTCCTGTGATTTGAAATTAAGAGTCCTAAAAAATTGCCTTTAACAAAACAGGTCCTGTCTGAGGGTTGGTACTAATGGAAGTGGGGAGGATATAAGGAAAGGGTGAAAGAGGGTGAATATAGTGGAAATACTATGTACTCATGTATGTAAATGGAAAAATGAGATCTGTTGAAACTGTCCCAGGAATGGGGGGGTGGAATAAAGGAAAATGATGAAAGGGATGAATTCTACTATGATATATTATAAGAACTTTTTCAAATGTCACAGGTACCCCCAGTACAACAATCATAAAAATAAACAATAAAAAGAAATTCAGTATAGAAGTATAATAAATTTATAACCATTTTCTCAAATAATAAACTGACAGCCTAGAGGGGGAAAATGCCTTTAAATCTTTTTTGGGATAAGGCAGAAAGTTAATGAATATCTATGCTTTTCCAGCATCCCTTAAATCTTTGCACCATTATTGCTAATGCAGTATATCCAGTACCTCAGTAGAAGATCAACATTTTGTTCTTTGATCCCTGTAAATCTGGTGCTCAAATGGAGCCCAAATGTGACACTAGGGAAACAGAGACCCCAACTCAACTCTATGATCAGGGGCTTATAGGTGTGTACCATAAAACTGCATCCCTCAAATTGGGAAACAGAAAGGTAGCATGCTGAGCAGACAGAAAGCCTAAGATTGAGTAATATGAGGAAAATGTTACAAGTTAGACTGATCATTGAATTAGAAGACAATATGGCCTCCTGTACTTGGTGACTACCTCTTTTTCAAGATTTGGGAAGTTTTCTGCTATTGCTTTATCAAATATGTTTTCTTTGTCTTTAGCTTGCACCTCTTCTCCTTCTATACCAAAAGCAGACTTCAAACAAAAATTAGATGAGACAAAGAATATTATGAAAATAGCAATACTACCAAAATCAACTACAGATTCAACATAATCTCCATCAAAATTCTAATGTCATTTTTCACAGAAATAGAAAAATCTATCTTAAAATTTATATGGGAGCATGAAAGATCTTGAATAACCAAAGCAATACTGAGCAAAAAGGGTAACACTGTAGGTATAATAAATGACTTCAAATTATACCACAGAGTCATAGAAAAAAATGAAGCCATCTGATTTTTGACAAAGGCACCAAAAAACAATCATTTTTTTTCTGTACAGGAAGCACAAGCATTGTGAAAGGGTGGAAAAGGATTTTCCAATTAAATGGACCCAGAAAGCAGGCAGAAGTAGCTATATTCATATCTGGTAAAGTAGACTTCAACCAAAATTAGTAAGAAGATACAAAGAAGTTACCCCATATTAATAAACGGGGATAATACATCAAGAAGAGAAAACTATTGTTAGCATATATATATGCACCAAATTCCCAGGCACCCAACTTTGTTAAACAAACACCACTGGATTTAAAAGCACAGGTAGACTCCAAGGCAATGATAGTGGGAGACTTTGATGCCCCACTCTCAACAATAGATAGGTCATTCAGACAAAAAAATGAACAAAGACACCTCAGAATTAAGTGATACTATATACCAAATGGACTTAACAGACATCTCCAGAGTATTTCATCTGTTTGCAGCACAATGCACATTTTTCTCAGCAGCCCATGGAGCTTTCTCCAAAATAGATTATATTTTAGGAAACAAAGCAAGTCTTACTGAGTATAAGAGAGTTTAAATAACTCCCTGTATTCTATCAGACCACAATAGGCTAAAACTAGAACTCAACATCAAATGAAACTACAGAAAACATTCAAACCCATGGAGACTGAACAACACATTGCTGAATGACTAGTGGCTAGTAGGTCACTGAAGAAATAAGGTAGGGAGGGGACAGTCCAAAAGTTCCTAGAATGTAATGAAAATGAAAACACAACCTCCCAGAACCTATGGGATACAGTAAAGACAATGCTAAGAGGAAAGTTTATACCCATGAGTATCCACAACTACATTGAAAAAAATCAAGATCCTGAAAAATAAGAAATAATTAAAAATTAGGGCAGAATTTAATAAAAATACAGAGCAAATGTAAGTATACAAAGTTAATGAAACAAAAAGTTGGTCCTTTGAAAAGATAAATAAAATTGATAAACCCTTAACCAATCTGACTAGAAGGAGGAGGGAAAAGTTCCAAATTAACATAAAGATGAAAAGTGGGTAGCACAACAAATACCAATGAAATCCAGAGGATCATGAGACAGTACACTGAAAACCTGTATTCAAATAAACTGCAAATTTTAGAAGAAATGTATAAATTTCTAGATGCATTTGACCAACCAAGAGGATATAAGCCACTTAAGTAGATCTATTATAAGCTATGAGATTAAAGAAAGAAGAGTCTTCCAACAAAGGAAAGCCCAGGACCTGATGGATTCACTGCCAAATTCTTCCAGACCTTTTAAGAACAAATACCAATAGTCTTCAAACTTCTCATAAAATAGAAAGGGAAGGAACACTGCTAAATGCATTCTGTGAGGCCAGTATTACACTTATTCCAAAACCTGACAAGGACACACAATAACAACAAAAATAATTTAGAACACTCTCTTTAATGAGCAATAAAACACTTGCCAACTGAATTCAATAACACATCAAAAAGATCATATACCATGCTCAAGTTAGTTTCATTCCAGGGATGCAAAGATGGTTCAACATATGCAAAGCAATTAATGTAATACAGCATAGAAACAGAATCTAGGACAAAAATCACATGATCATCTCAACTGATGTAGAAAAAGAGCCTTTGACAAAATTCAACATCCTTTCATGATAAAAGCTCTAAAGGAACTAGGGAT